ACAAAAATAGAAAACTAATGAGTAGAATTGCCATAATTTAGTATTCTGTAGAGACACAGATCAGCTGTAATCAAAAAGTGGTGCCCACGTAGGTGTTTACCAATCTGATCCATACGGCAGGGGAAATTGTAAGGAAGTACAGTTTATCAAATACATTTCCTAAATCCTAGCTAGCAAATTCAGCAATTCTCATCAACAGTGAATTACCCTTACAGATGTTTGCCTATGAAATTATCATCTACAGAAGGTACTTTGCTAGGAAACACAATCTGTTCATCATCAAATCTAAGAGACACATGCTATCTGCATTTTTGACTCTAGAAAGGATTTAATTGATAGTTTGTTGACATTTTATGTAAATTCTTGCTAGAAACAAGAATTGTATTGTTGTATTGTTGTATTGTTGCAGAGCAAATAATCACTGAACATTCATCCTTAGCTAGTAGTATTTAGAGCATGCTACTCTCATTGGCTTAATGCTCCCAGAAATGATGACTCTATGATGCATAAAATCCCATAGAGCTCAGAAAAGAGGCTGCTGGTGTTGCCCATATTATTACTTACAAGCTATCTAGGAATCCCTGTATGATAGATGAATTGTAACTGAAAAATGCCATCACTGGGGTAGAGCTATTGTTATATTTCATTTCTGTTTGCGCTAGAGAGTAGCTTGACTCTAAAGAACAAATGGTATACTGATAGAAACAAGCACATAGGCGAGGATGCACTACACAAATGGTTGCCTTCAAGTTTCTGATTTGTAAAATTTATACTCAGCAAAAATATTCTTGCGAAGTACCAAATCCACTTAAGTAATGTAGCTTGCTTTGTGGGATTAAGTCAGTTTTATGATGTTTTGTATCTGGGTGAATTCTAGTGTGTTTGAAGAAAAAATTAAATATGTTGTCATAATTTAATTTGTATAAATTAAGGAAATAACAGCAGGAAAAATACATAATTCACTGGGGACATTATAATATTAACCATAAGGTGAACTGGAGCCTATTAAATAAATACAAATTGAGATAAGCCAAGTGCACAAGAAGTCAGGATGGTTATTGAGACCTGGGGAGCTGTGACTTAGGGCAATGGCTTCCTTTCTTAGAGTTGAACTCTTCTCAGTTATGTAAAATATGATAAACAGTGCAACCTCTGAATGGTTTCCTGAAGATTCAATAAATGCAAATAAACGCTGTCCAGATATTACTGTTATTACTTCTTTTATCACTGGTAGTATATTTGCTACTGCTCTCTTTATTATTAGTTGAAATGAGACTTGTAATATTCAAGAATGGCTAGAAAGAACTGTTCTTGAGACTTACTTGCTCAAACTATGTTGTTATCAGTGTTCTTTAAAAATGTAAGGAATGTCAGCCACTGTTTGAAGCAAATTTTTTGATAATTTTGAAGAGATTTTCAATGAAAGCTGGTAGCAGTACAGTTGACAGTTAAGCACTCTGCCAAGATTACTAGATTTAGACAACAAAGAAGACTACATTTTACTCTACTTCTGCCTCATGTAAGCCCTAACCTTGACTGCAGCTCATTTAACCTTGGGGACTTTGATTTACTGGAGTTATGAAGGACCACCTTATTTTCTCAATAAGCATAATAAGGTTGAAGTGATTTGAACTATAGTCACCTACCACAGGAAATTAAGTTACCTATAAGGTCCAGCTAGCCTGTTGTAATGTGACTTTGCCTGCAAGGGCATGAAGTCAAGAAGGAAAATGCTAGAAGGTTAGGCAGCTAGGAGTGCAAAGAAAGGGAAGTTGAAATGCTGTTCTGAAGGGAAGATGAGTCCATTTTCAGAGAAATGGTGAGAAGGGTTTTCAGTGAAAGTGAGTTGGTTTGAACTTAAATAGTATTTTGAAAAATGGGGCCAAAATAGAAAATAGGAGGCAAAGCATTTCTATTTACTGGGAGACCAAAGGGCTGCATGAGGTAGACAGATGGTCTCACAGCTGGCTCATCCAAAAATCTGTTCCAGTGTTTTAATATCTGGTAGGGAAAGAGGATTAGAGAGGAAAGAAAGTTAGGAAAAGCATAATAACTAAAATATACATATTCAAATAGCTTGCACAATGACTACTGTGATGAAACATAACATGTTATAAATGTGGGAAAGAACTTGATAGAGGGAGTGGTTGACAGGGGTGGAAGGGAGATAAGAGATTGTGGGCAAGAAGAGTAATCAGAGTGCATTATATATAATATATAACAAATTGTCAAAGAACAAATATAATTAATAAAAAATTTCTTCCCTGAAAGATTGGTGGAAAGGGGGTAGTCATCCTTTGTGGTTTAGATAAACAGACTGAAGAAAAGCAATGCCAAGAGCAACTGGGAGCCAGTTCTTCCTCCTCAGAGGGCTAGAGTCAGATCTTTTGGCTATACCATCACTTTACCTACGAGAGATGAGTCTGCTTTTCAATCAATTTAGTTTGAAAAGCACAGAAGGTTCAGGAGGAGAACTGAGAAAAGGAAAAGTTACTTTGCCTGTGTTTGAATCAATTTAGTTTGAAAAGCACAGAGGGGTTCAGGGGAAGAACTTAGAAAAAGAAAATATTTCCCCTAAGACGGAGGCAGATGGGGAGTAAAATGGCGAATAGATTTATCGTAGAACAACCTTCAGATAACAAAGGTCCTGAAACAAGCAGCATGTATGTGTGATTAAAATGAAACAAAATCCCACAGCAGGCTCTGCTGTAACATGCAATGTGGTCAATAAAAATTAAGAATTAGTCATACAAACTGTGGAATAAACTTTGGAAAGTTAACTTTTGTTGCATGTATGGGGAATAAAACATTCCCGTCTTCCATTAGAGGAAGTGTTCATTTATAACATTGCTGAAGAAAATGAACAAACTGGAGGCCTGTACAATCAATGCCCCTCTCCCTCAGAAAAACAAATCAAACAACCAAAACAGAAACCAAAGCACCAATTTTTCCTAGATTCTCTTCCAAGAACAACAGACGGACTTTCGTTACTTTTTCCAATGCTGCTATCATCTATGGACTTGTAAAGACAGCCTGCCTTTCCTTCCATGCTTAAGTGAAAATGTGCTGTTTCTCTCAGTGCTCAGACTCTGACAGGTGTTCTAGTTAATTCCCTCACTGTCACTGTGGGAAACACTTAAGCGCCAGGCTGGTCTTCCCCAAAGGGGAGAATTCAACTGTGACAGGTAAGGTGGTGACTCTTAGATGGATCTGGCATTCTGGGTATAAAGAAAAAGACCTGACTGATGGACTTCATTTATGCTTGCCCCCACCCCCTCAGGGGAGTAAGAGAAGTCTGAGGTTAGTATGTCTACTGAGTAAGCCATTTCTTTCATTGTTGCCTTTCTTTAAGGAAGGTGACTGACAGCACGGAAGGGTTGAATGCAATCTCCTGTATCTACTCAATGGGGCAGAGCAAATAGCCAAGCTCCCAGAGTGTATGATACTTGTAGATTTCACTATGATTGCCATGCCTTCTTTCAAGCCCCGGGGCCCCAAGAACTAATAATGAACAAATTGTTAGGTTCTTATCTTACAAAAGTGGCTACTCTATCTTCAGTCTATACACTATCATCTCTAAGTAGACAGGCAAGACCAGTCTGTTTTATGCTCAAAACAAGGTCTTTGGGCTGAAGCAGGTTCAGAGACAGTCGTAGGAGGGGAAAATATTTAGCAAGCCACCTTGACTGTTGGGAGCTTATTGTTCTTCACTATTCCTAGGTGGCATGTTAGCAAGGATTGGTTCAAACACTAGGATGCTGAGAAATAGCTTACTCAGGAACCTGTGCTAATGAGAGTTATACTTCATATTCTTAGGTGAGGGAAAGGGGTTACTAAGTTTTCACTGACATAGACTTTGTCTTCTTTTCTAGGCAGAAATCCTGCATGGTTTCCACATGCCCACAATGGTCACCAACTAACATAATAATGAACATTTATATACTACTTGATAGTTTATGAGAGAATTATGGTTTTATAATCTTTGACAGACAAAGGAGGGAGATTCAGAAAGATGAAGTCATCTGTCCAAAGTCACAAAGCCACAAAAGTGGCAAATGGTCAATCCAGAGCAGGAACTTGCTCCTATTAATCATCTTCTTGAAATACTATATTAGCATATAATGCCAACCAGCAGAGATAATAGGTACGTAAATTGTTCTTACTTTTGTTATTTTTTAAACTGGTATGTTGACTTCCACGAAGGTTCTGCCACACATTTCCACTTTCTTCTTCCCACTCTCGTAAGCAGGAGTGCCTGCCCATACATGCCATGACTTGTCAGTCTCCCCTTCCTCTCTCCCCAGCACACCACCCACAGTCTCCAGAACCATATTGCATTGACAGTTTGTTTCTTCAAAGCTCTATGAGGAGCCATCAAGAGTCAGCAGGCAGAAAGGTGAGGATTGAGGTTTGCTGCTTGAATAGGGAAAGTTTCCTAAAGAAGGTGAGAGGCATTCCTGTCTAGGACCAGTGACAAAATTGCCACCATTTTAATGATATTAGAGTGCAGATTGATGGGAGGTATAAAATGAGGCAGGCGATAGAAGCAGGGGAGAATGGATGTTGAGTGCAAGCATTCCTCATTATCATACTTCTTGAAACAGAAGAGTACTTTCGACAATTTAAACAAATACATTGCTTTGTTACCACCAATGGGAGTTAGAATTATCTCTGACTCTTTTGCCTGCTCTTGGGATTCTTTTCCTCCTGCTGGGTTGTCACGTGTAGAAGTGATATGATGGGTTTGGCTCAGTCTTAATGTATCTTATTAGGGCATGTTCTGTGGGTTTCACTGGGAGATCTACTGTTTTCTGAAGGGAAAAGGAGCGAAGAGTGGATCTGGGAGAGAGAGGAGGGTGTTCTGGGAGAAGAAGGAGGGGAAACTGCAGTCAGGATGTAATGTATGAGAGAAGAATAAATTTTTTTTGTTTTTATTTTTTTTTGTTTGTTTTTTGTTTGTTTGTTTTTTTAAAGATACAGAAATAAAGGTTCAAACTTACCCGCAGGATTTCCTCAACACAGCTTGGATCACTGGGAAGGCTTACCTAAAATAAACAAAATGCAATAAACATAACTAAGTTCCACTCAGCGAAGCTTACCATACAGCAGTGTTCACTGTGGGATAAGTCATAAAGGCAGGAGAGAAAAATGAGAAACATTTATTTTCCCTGTTAAATACAAAGCAGCAAGGTCTCCAAATGGCTAGTTTGGCTTTGCTTTAGTGAAACAGTGAAATCAAGTGCAAGGTGTGGAAAGAAAGTGATTACTGATGTGCTATAGGAAACTGAGCTGTTTTCATCCCTTTCAGGTTTATCCAAATAGTGAACTTGACCTTGAGATCCTTCAGTTTCTCAACACTTGAACATAGTTTAGCATATTATTACATTTAAAGAAGAGAGCTATATAAAAAGACTTCTCTGATTAAAATGAATTCCCCTTCAACTCGGGCAGTCAAATCTGATGCCTATACTTTTTTGATGCAAAAAAACGAACTGAATTCCTGTGAGTACTGCAGATTTGCTTGACATTTAGAGGGAATCTCAGGCATATATAGTAAGGGAATTCCAGGAACCATCTTTCCTTCTCTCTTTTTCCTGTGACACTTGCTTGATCAATCAAAATCCCAACCAAACACGAACATGCTGAAGACATGATGTATGTCAAACAGATAACATTTTTCTCCTAGGGCTTGGCAAGCAGCAAATGCAATGATCCAAATATCAAAGTAAGATAACAGCTCCACTGTGGTGCATGATGGGGGACTTGGGAGTAGAACTATCTATCACCTGGTAACCTGTTTACCAATCGGAATGTTACTTGTGCAGCCTAAGCAACTCCTAAACATTTCCCTTTTCTGCCCTTCAAACCTTCACCTTCTCCGGGATTAAAAACACATCTCTGGTGTTCTGGGGAGGAAAACAGTGGTTATCTCTCATTAACTGTCAAGTCTTGGCTGACGCCCATGACTTGCCCTGCAAGGTCCTGGAGAGCAGGCTTGTGTAAATGTTTGAATGCTAAGGACTGCTTTGAGGGATGACAGAAAAATTTCTGCAGTGTGAATACTACTACAGTATCTGTGAACCCCAGACCTGCTGCAAGACTGGTTCATCATTATGCTCAGATTGCAGATAAAGTTAAAGAATATTTGAGGAAATCTAAAGTGGACTATGGCACCAGATTTCCTCAACCTTAAAAAATGTACAGGATTTCATATAAATATCCAAGTATTATAAAATTCATTATTGAACATCCATTGATTTCCATCTGAATTTATTGAATTTCTTCTACATGTAAGGGTCCCTGCTGTGGGAAGCATAAAATCCCAAGTAAGGGAGACAGGCCTTAAGATGGTCTCCACACATACTTTCAGGATACACTTGCTATTCTAGTATAATTATTAACTCTTTTCCCTTTCATATTAAAAAATGTTCCATTTTGGATGACAAGTTATATAGACATCCTTCCTAATGTAATAATACTTGAATATGTGGTATAAGAGACAATACAAATCAAGACAAAAATTGGCTATGCACACATTATAAAGAAACATAAATTATAACTTTCAAATAGGGACTCACCAGTAGATTGGTCTAACACAGTTAATTCACTCTTTAATCTATTCAAGAAATATGTTTTTTTTTATTTTTTTGTTTGTTTGTATCTACAAAAAAATCCTGTTGAGATGGAATGGAATTTGCAAGTCTATAGATGAGCAGGTGTACAGTGGACAGCTACACTGTGTCGTCTTTCATCTGTGCACATACTCTGATTTACTTGAGTGGTTAATAGCTTCCATTTGTGGTTTTCATTTTGTAAGCATTTAATTTGAGGGACATAGTCATAAATAGTATTTTATTTTTTAATTGTTTATGCTAAATTTATGGACATTTATTTTTCAGTGTTAATGCTCTGTGATGATATAGCTAAACATGTTTTTTTTGGTTTGAGAAGATTTTTTGTTTTGTTAGCTTCAGTTTTTTGACTCTTTGTGTTTTCTGTGTACATAGTTGCTGTCTGCTAATAGGAACGATTTCCTCCCTGACTCTGTGCGTCTTGTTTCTTTTTCCGGCTTATTGCGTTGATTAGAACTTCCACTGTGATCTTGAATAGTGCCTTGCCTTTTTCTCATCCTAATGGAGAAACTTTTTTGGATTTTCAAGACAGGGTTTCTCTGTGTAGCCCTGTCTGAGAACTCATTCTGTAGACCAGGCTGGCCTCGAACCCACAGAAATCCGCCTGCCTCTGCCTCCAGAGTGCTGGGATTAAAGGAGTGTACCACCGTTGCCTATCAGAGAAACATTCATTATTCAAGAAATATGTTTTTGAAGGTTAAAGTATTCTTCATCAGGCCGGTGGTAAGCAGAAAGGCAATAGTAAGCAAAAGAAGGCACAATGTTCTTCCTCCTTGAGCTGGCACGCTTGATAGGATGGTGAAGAAGAAGATATTCAATATGCAACTATGACACTGGGCTACAACATGCTGTAAAGGAAACCGGTCCATACACACTGTCTCTAAAACATAAGAGGCTCTATGTACAAGTATGTATAGGAAATGATCCAATCCACATTCCCTTCATGTAGTTCCATGTTGTAAACCTAAGGTTGTGAGAAATCTGCTTACAGGTTTGGAGTCAACATGATCCCAAATTTCTTGATCCTTCAATGTGGGTCTTTATTTTAGAATTAAAGTGTTTTAATTTTGTTTGTTTTATGTGTATGAGAGTTTTGTTTGTATATATGTATGTGCACCACGTGTGCCTGGAGCAAATGGAAGAATGTGCCCCATCCCTTAGAACTGGAATCACGATGGGTGTGAACAAGATTGTGGGTACTGGGAATTGAATTCTGGCCCTCTGTGAAAGTGATAAGTGCTCTTAACAACTGAGTCATATCTCTAGCCACTACTTTAGATTCTGATTTTTAAATTGACAACTACTGAAAATGCACAGAATATGTATTTTCTGGTCTAACATAATATTATACAACAGAACTTATAATTTTATTTAGTGATAATTCTTAGCATCAGACAACATTCCTACTAATTGCTCAGTGATCCAGCAGTTGTGTTTTCAAGATGATTCTTAAACTTCCAATAAATACCTTTCCTAAACATGAATATTCAAAGGGTTGTAATGAAGACTTAAATTGCCATTGTTCCACAGTATCAGTATGGACTCTGTAGACTAAATATGTATGGGCCAAGCCCCCACCATACCTTTGCTTGTTTTTTTTTTTTTAACAACAAACATATTAATACAAATTTTGAAGCTAAGGAGGATGAAAACAACAATATTCACATATAGAAAGAGTATTCTCCTATGAGTCAAAAGCTTTGGGTAGAAATCTTGGTCCTAGCTCACAAGAGTCAGATTTAGTAACTCCTATCAAAGTTTCAGCATTTATAACCATAAAATATAATTTAATGTAAAATATAAATATTAGTAGCTGATCCTTTCTAGTCTCACAGGGTTCCTGTTTGTAGCAAATGAAATAAGAGAGGTCGAGTGTGCTTTGTAGCTTCAAAACTACACGTACTAAGTCAAACCTTTCTCGTTCAATTCCTCGTACTTCTGTTATTAAAAGTGTAGCTAAGAGCTGCCTATCATCAACTGCAAATATCATCCCTCCATTTAGAATTACAGATACTCACTTCTTTATGGAAGGAAATTCTGTCAAGAAAAAGAGATGTAGGCACTGAGACTTTGCAGCAAATCAGATAATGACAATCAGAGTCAGATTTGAGAACTGTACAGATAAATCTATATGGACCCATGCCCAGTGTTTAGATATGTTCCTATCCCCAAGAAAACACTGGAATCCAGTATTCTTGTGAAGTCACTACTCCTGCAAATTTATCTAGTTCAGCCCCACAACTGGTTTTTCTCCAGGCAACTCATATGTACCTGGAAGGGCTTCTTAACCAGTAAAAGACTTCCTGTGTATCTGGAACAGTGTTGGGCATGGAGGCTTGCAAAGACAACTGCTGTGAGACCAGGTCTGTCTCTCAGAGTTAAATGTCTAGACAGGGCAGGAAAACAAACAATTAGAGACCCACTGGGACATACATGGTAAGGTAGTCTTGACAAGGGTAATAGGATCTCATTCATTCATCAGATCTCCCATTTCCTTCTTTGGACAAGGAATCCTGATTGAGCTCACACTGTGCTCAGGATGGTGCCAACGAGGGCAATTTAAAGACAAAAGATACTATCACTCTTGCCATGAAGACTCCATTCAAATAAAGGAAGAGAGAAATTGTATTTTTACAGGGGAAATAGGAAATAGAAACTGGGAGTCTCATTAAAGTGCCACAGAAAGAGTACTTACTAGGTTCACCGAAGGAGCCATATCCAATGGAAGCTCCAAGTCCTTAAAGTCCTTACTGTATTCTTCACACCATATGGGAGTAAGAGGTCAGATATAGGACATTGCTCAATAGTGCTGGGGCCACCTGAGGCTACTTTAGTCTCTAAGCCCCCTACAGTGCAGTTACTCATTGGGGTCACAGTACACACTGGAAGAAAGCTGCACTAAGACCAAAGCTGGATTTTGTCTTAAACACTCTGTGTCTCAGGCAAACCACCCATACCTCCCCTAGGGATTCCAGAGGAGTCACTCACACAGGTGTGAAAGAAAGTGACAGAAGAAAGTAGTGGTGGTACTAGGATCAGAACTGCCACACTGCTACTTAGTTCCAGAACCACCTTCTCTTCCTTTTGAATCCATTCTTGAATATTCAGATAGTCCACAAATCACAAGTTAGCCACTCAGATCCTTTCTAATTCCCCTCCATTCCCTCCTCTAAGAGAAGAAAGTCAACGGCACAAGGAAGAAACACAGGAGCTCTCATTCCTGGCTAGAGAGGACCCTCTTGTGCTGGGCAGGGATGTGATCTCTGAGGGCCAGGAAAGGGAGTTATATGTCATCAAGCAGGAGGTGAATAGCTGGATAATTCTCACAAGTGCCTACCCTCTGTGAATCTAACACTGCAGGCAGTCACCCCAAGAAACCACAGAGAGACCACACACAGATCATCTGCCTAGTG